CTGCACAATGAATTTTTCTTTTAATTTTTCCAAAAATTTTTCCCCATGGTTTAAAAATTTCCAGAAATATTACAGCTCTACATAGAACCCTCAAACATTTTATATTTTTTAAGCAGAGGCCTTGGCGATTAAAATGATTGTTGTTGTAATTTTTTATGTCACACTATAGTTGCATAGTGGTTTATCAAACACAAATGTTCAGGAAAAATGCACTTTTATACATTTTAGTGCACATAAACACAATATAATGCACAATTACTTGGTAAAATATAAAAGATGGTGCTACACCAAGTAAATAGATACCTAACAAATCATGCTTAAAAATTGCATATGCCCATTTATTATAAACACTGTATCTTTATTTTTTTTTACTTTATTGCTATCACAAGGGATGAACAACATCATGGGCAGCATGGGCAGTGACAGGTACTCTTTACTGAGATCGGTGTGATCAGATGCTTTCACAAGCTAACAACGGCTTGTTTACAACAAACCAAAACTGTAATTGATGAAATCATTGTCGCTTCCAGTTTCTGACATAACAGAGTGTAAGGAACAACATTAATTCTTTTTACTCTGTCTTGGGCATCGGATTCGGCCAGTTGCATTGTTATCTGGCTCCCTGTTGGGACAGGAGAGCTGAGTAAAGGCAGTGGTGGGACCATCTTCTGCCGCCTGTAAAAGTGATCCAGCGGCTGTGTAGCCTCTCAGATTACTTTTACTTTGTAGGAAATTGCTGACCCTAAAAAATGATACCTTGATCCTTGCTTCAGCGGTCTGAGGACATACAGGTAAATCCTGAGGAAGGGAAGTGGTTAAACATGTCTTAAGTCTATGACTGTCTCCTGAAGCATGTCCCCAGTTTCCAACAACTCCTATAGAATGTTTGCCATTTCTAACCACCTTCTGTAGCATGTCTGCAATCTCTGATCATCTCTTGTAGCATTTCTGTAGTGTCTGACCATCTTTAATAGCATGGCTACAGCTTTCTGTAGCATTACGTTTATTTATGTACAACCCTTTGGTCATATCAAGGGCTCAAAAGCATTGACCACTACTGTTCTAGTGAATAATTTCATAAGCCTACCTTTACTTCAATTCCTGCTCCCTCCTCTAATGTATGGTTTTCTGAGCCTGCCTTCACTTCTATATCTTATCCCTTTTCCAGTGTATGGTTTCATGCACTTGCCGTCACTTCCATACCTGCCCCTTCCTCTCTTTTAGGGTTTTATACACTAGAGCAGTGGTCTCCAAACTGTGGCCCAGGGTCCAGTTGCGGCCCTTTGCTTGCTTTTATCTGACCCTTGGAGCACTATTTCATCCACTGACACCAAGAATGGGGCAAAATTGCCCCCATTACACCAATGAAGGGGCACAATTCCTCCCAATGACACCAATGATGGGGCACAACTCCTCCCAATGACACAGCACAATTCCCCAATGACACCAACGATGGGGCACAATTCCCCTCACACTGGCACCATAGATGGGACATTGTTTGCTCCCACTGATGCTGAGACATTTTCTACTCCCAATGCCCACAGTCCCCCTAAAGTCTGAAGGACAGTAAACTGGCCCTTTGTATAGAAAGTTTGGAGACCCCTGCACTAGAGGAAGGAGCAATAAGGCAATCTAGTTTATTATAGATTATAGACAGTATTAAAGAAAGTCACCATTATGATGTGTGGAAGGTTGTGTGCTGACTCTGGCAGTCTTGTTGCCCTTGTCCGCAGTTTATATCTTCTATGCAGAAATCTGGCCCCATCTGGCTGTAGATTGGCAACTGTCCAAAATCAAAGAGCTGTGAGATTTTTCCTCTGCTTTGGATAACACATAACATATCGAGTTCTTATAAAACCCTATTCCTGTTTAGGCTGACAACTAGTATATCAAACACAAAAAATGTTTGAACCAAGGTAAGAAACAAGGAATTTTTGTGAACCTGGAAATCTAGTATTGTATAGGACACAGAATTTATTCTTAGGGTTATATTCTGTTACCTTCAGGTGATTACACACTGGCAAAAGCTGGTAAGAGCCTCTATTTTCTTCATATAATTTCACCCACTCCATAACCCTCCGGTTTGTTATCAGTAAAAAGAATACAGAAAAAAAAGGGGAAGGACAAGTGTCCTGTACTGTACTCCCAGCTATGGAATTTGCAGGTATGCTAAAATTCCTATTTTTTTTCAATTGTAAATTACAGGAACTGATTCTTTGACCATGGGATGTCCCCAAGCAATTTTCAGAGAGGTGGGCAAGAAAATAGTCAAAATGACAGCAAGAGGCCACAAGTGTGTCAATGGACCCAAACAGATAGTTGACAGTAGAAGGACTTGCATGGCTGTGGATTGAAGGGGCTTAGAGTGCCTGATGAGAAGGAACTGAAATAACCCAGCTACTAACCTGTGATTGTATCTCTGAAGCATTAGACAACCAGTGAGATAGAAAGCAATCAGTTGTTGTTGGTGGAAAATTTGCAGTTAGGAATCTTACAAGCACTATGTCACACAGCAGCCTGACCCTCCTCTTCTCGAGTCCCTTGATGGGGCTCCTGGCTCTTCCCCACTGCTTGCAGGAGTGCCCCCAGAGCAAGCAACTTGCTGTGGGGGCATACATGCAAGCTCACTACCAAGCCGGCTCTGTGTGTCCATTGACACTTGCCCCCCACTCCCTCCTCACTGGAGCAGGGCCAGATCTAGCCTGTCTGTTGTGGGGGTGCAGTAAAAAATGTCAGGGGGGCAGAAGATGTGAGGTCAGCAGGGCAGATGGTAGGGTCAGTAGTTTGTAGGGCAGTGTACAGGTGGTTATCAAAGCAGTGTATAGGAAGCAGCAGGGCAGTGTGCAGTGGGTCAGCAGGGAAGAGAATGAGATGTAGGGCACTGTACAAGAGTCACTAGGACAGTGTACAGGAGGTCAGTAGGGCAGAGGATAGGGGTCAGCAGGGTAGAAGACAGGGATCAGTAGGACAGAGGACAAGTTCAGCAATGCATGCAGTAGTGTATTGTGGTTTTGTGCTGCCCTAGACAAGACTAAAAATTGGGCACCCCCCGCATCTAAATTTGCCCCACCCCTTCCTGTTTAGGATCCACCCCTTCATCTATAAACTTCACCCCTTCCTCTTTAAGCCCCACCTCTTCCTATTAGAGCTCCACCTCTTATTTTATTCCATTACCAGTGTCATTTGGAGGAATAGTGCCCCTTCATTGGTGTCAGTGGGAGGAATAGTGCCCCATCATTGGTATCAATGGGAGGAATAGTGCCCCATCACTGGTGTCAGTGGGAGGAATAGTGTCCCATCACTGGTATCAATAGGAGGAATAGTGCCCCATCATTGGTGTCAGTGGGAGGAATAGTGCACCATCATTGGTGTCATTTGGAAGAATAGTGCCCCATTACTGGTGTCAGTGGGAGGAATAGTGCCCCATCACTGGTGTCAGTAGGAGGAATAATGTCCCATCATTGGTATCAATGGGAGGAATAGTGCCCCATCACTGGTGTCAGTGGGAGGAATAGTGTCCCATCACTGGTATCAATAGGAGGAATAGTGCCCCATCATTGGTGTCAGTGGGAGGAATAGTGCACCATCATTGGTGTCATTTGGAGGAATAGTGCCCCATCATTAGTGTCATTTGGAGGAATAGTGCCCCATCATTAGTGTCAGTGGGAGGAATAGTGCACCATCATTAGTGTCAATGTGGGAGGAATAGTGCCCCATCACTGGTGTCAGTGGGAGGGATAGTTCCCCATCATTGGGGTCAGTGGGAGGAATAGTGCCCCATCATTAGTGTGAGTGGAATAGTGCCCCAACATTGGTGTCAATGGGAGGATTAGTGCCCCATCATTGGTGTCAGTGGGAGGAATAATACGCCATCATTGGTGTCAGTAGGAGTAATAGTGCCCTATCATTGCTGTCAGTGAGATAAATAGTGCTCCATCATTGGTGTCAGCGTGGGAGGAATAGTGCCTCATCATTGGTGTCAGTGTGGGGGAGGAATAGTGTCCCATCATTAGTGTCAGTGTGGGAGGAATAGTGCCCCATCATTGGTGTCAGTAGGAGTAATCGTGCCCTATCATTGCTGTCAGTGAGATAAATAGTGCTCCATCATTGGTGTCTGTGGGAGGAATAGTGCCCCATCATTGGTGTCAGTGGGAGTAATAGTGCCCCATCATTGGTGTCAGTGTGGGAGGAATAGTGCCCCATCATTGGTGTCAGTGACACCAATGATAGATCACTTTTCCTCACACACTGACACTAATGATGGGGCACTATTACTCCCACTGACACCAATGATGGGGCACTATTCCTCCCACAGACACCAATGATAGATCACTTTTCCTCACACACTGACACTAATGATGGGGCACTATTACTCCCACTGACACCAATGATGGGGCACTATTCCTCCCATGGACACCAATGATGGAGCACTATTCCTCCCACGGACACCAATGATGCTTATTTTTCTGTGCAGACCCCTACTCCAGCTCAGGCTCCCTCCCTCTCTCATCCACAACCAGCTTACCTTCCTGCAGCAGCACCATCTGCTCTGCTCAGATCCCTTACCCTTATCAGCTGTCTTTGTTCTCTGCCGCTCTCCTCCTCTTCACTGGCTCTGGCTGCTCCCTCACTCCAATTAGCTTCCTCGATCCTCGTGCTGCTGCTCATCTGCCCCTCTCTGCCTGTGTGCTTTCCCTGAGCTACAGATCTGGCGGCTTATCACTGGCAATGTGGCGGAGCTTGCAGAGGGAGGGGCAGGCTGCCATAGGCCGCCCCGTGATCCCAGGGGTGTGGCCAGATGAGAGGGGCGGCATGTCATGCAGAGAATGCATTAAGGTAAAAAAACTTTGGGCTTTACAACCACTTTAACCGCTTCCCAACCACCCTATAGCAGAAATTCTTCTACAAGGCAGCATGGGTGAGCAAAATCATGTATACAGTATATATGTGATTTTGCATTTCCGGGTAGGGGGTGCATGCGAACCGCGTGTGTACCCTACCTGTGCCACCATTCACAGCCGCAGTTGTCAATCACTGGGTCCCGGGTGAAACACACCCAGCACACAGTTAACCCTTTGATTGCCCCTCATATTAACCCCTTCCAGCCCAGTGCCATTAGTACGGTGTCAGTGGGTTTTTTTTTAGCACTGATCACTGTATTGGTGTCACTGGGGATGTCAGTGACACCAAACCAGTTTCCCCAGTGTCAGAATGTCCGCCTCAGTCCCGCTATAAATCGCTGATTGCTGTCATTACTAGTAAAAATAAAAAAACCAAATCCCAGTATATATACCGCCATTTGTAAACACTATAACTTTCACGTAAACCAATTAATTTACACGGATTGGGATTTTTTTTTAGCAAAGACATGTAGCAGAATACATTTTGGCCTAAATTTATGACAAAATTTGATTTTTGAAATTTTTTTACTGGAGATGTTTAATAGCAAAAAGTCAAAAATATTGTTTTTTCAAAATTGTCGATCTTTTTTTTTTATAGTATAAAAAAATAAAAAACACAGAGGTAATCAAATACCAACGAAAGAAAGCTCAAGTCGTGGGAAAAAAAGGACGTAAATTTAATTTGGGTGCAGTGTTGCATGACCATGCAATTGTCAATTACAGGAACACAGCGCCGTAATGCAAAAAATGGCCTGGTCAGGAAAGGGGGTAAATCCTCTGGAGGGCAAGTGATTGAGATAATTTATTTGTGCAATAATGATTGTTTCAAGTGGTTGCTGGGACTGGTTTCCTAGACACAGGCCTGTATGTAGCAGACTGCTCCAGACCCTATAACCGCTAGATCTGTATCTCTGCAGCCTATTTCCATACTTTCCCATATTGCTTATCCATTCCCCACATGATGCGACCATTGTTACCATTCTCTTTCTTATTGTAACTTCTTTGGTTAATGCAGATAAAAAGGACAATATTTATTGACATACTGAAGTTCAACACCACACGTCTAAATTAAAATACCTTCCTGAATAAAGTGTTCATATTAATGACCATAATATCTCTCCATCAAAGAGGCATTTATTTGCCTATACTACTTTTACAGCATTTTTGTCCCGTGCGTGTCACTTAAACCACAATACTCTATGTCAACATTCCCCAATCAAAGAATGAGCTTGTCAAGTGTGTGCATTCTCACAGGCTGCGGTATCTGAATGAACTTGTCAAACGAAAGCAGTCTGTCTTCCAAATATGACATGCTATCCTAGTGCCACTGTTACAAGACACCAAGGCCAGTTAAGGATCGCTTGGCCCACCTAGTCTGTCCATTTCTCTTCACAAATGTAGTGTTCAGTTGCCATAAAAACATTTGCGAAATTGCACCTTCTGCCTGATTATAAGTAAGCTGCAAATATAAATAATAATGTGGAGGGTGTCAACATTTTTAAAATACCTTTTATAAAACGAAAAAGATAGCCAATTTGATTTTTGTAGACTTGGCCGAATATTGTATTTTCAAACTAAGGAGACTTCTGTGACAAGATCTAAAGCAGATCATTTGGCTTAGACATCCCAACAATGCAAATGATTTGAAACAACACAAGGTCTGATCTGCATCATTAGGAGTGTGATTGACATTATGGTCAATAAAAGAGGTTCTACCAGTTAATAAATATAAGGGTGGCCATCAGGGGTGGACTGACAACTCATGGGGCCCCTGTGTCCTTGCCCAAACTCAAAAAAGCCTATGAAAAAGGTACCAGTGGCATCTCATGGGGCCCTCTACTGACCCTGGGCCCTCGGGCAGTGCCCAAGTTTCCAAATGGTCAGTCCACCCCTGGTGGCCATACCATTTCCATCAATGACCTATACTGAGATAAATATGGTGATTGTTGCTGCTGGATTTCTTCTAAAATGCCATTTGCTTGGCTGTCTCTGGCCTTGATACTTTTGGAGACACTGACCCAGAGCAAGTATGCAGATCAAAAAAGTCAAAGTGATCAATCAGCATACTTGTTCTCGGTCACAGACGCCTCTAGTTTGGGTTTGCATCTACCTTAGAGCCATTCAGTAGGTTGGCATTATGTATTTACGTCTAGCTTATGCCTTTCACAAATAAAGTATATCTTGGAGTAGAAAAGAAAATAGAATTTAGGAAGAATTATATAAAAATATATTCAGATACCTATATGTTATGTATTCTATAGCAGGGGTGGACTGACCATTCGAGCACTAGGGCACTGCTCGAGGGTCAGTAGGGGGCCCCATAAGATGCCCCTGGCACCTTTCATTGGCTTTTTCACAGGCTTTTTTGGGTGTGGGCAAGGACACAGGGCCCCCATGATCTCCTATTGCCGGGAGCCCCATGAGTTGTCAGTCCGCCCCTGTTCCATAAGTCACTTTTATGAACTAGATTCCTGGGGCCAAAAGTTGATAACAGAACAGAAACAAGGTGTTGCAATATTGACACATCAGTTAAATGCTGCCCTTTTGGGAGGTTCATGTATCACTGCCACAATATAGACCCCTCTAGCAAGGTTTCTCCCATCCCTTGACCACAAATCCACCAAATAATACAAGGCATGTCTTGATGCTTGCTACACATCACATACCTGTAATGCATAAGCTCTGTTAATGATCCCTTCCCTCAGGTGGCGTTATTTTTTTAAGCAGATGTAACCTCAAAGGATTATGGGGATTTATTAACCGCTTCCTGACTGCCCTATACCAGAAGTACTACTACAGGGCGGCAGGGCTGCGCAAAATCACGTATATATATGTTATGTTGTACTTTAAGGTAGGGGGTGCGCGTGCAAGCCACCCTACCTGCGCTGTCATTGCCAGCTACAGCTGTCGATCACCGGGTCCCGGCCAGAGATTCCCCACCGGCACCCGGCGATTGCTGAGGAACACTGACAGAGGAGAGGTCTGTATGTAAACAATACAGATCTCTCCCCTGTCAGCACCAGCATGCTGCTTTGTATTCTGCATAGCAGATCAATACAAAGCAGCATGCTTACACAGTAAAGCACACTCAGACAACACAGTAAAACAGCACACAGTTAACCCTTTGATTGCCCCAGATATTTACCCCTTCCTGCCCAGTGTCATTAGTACAGTGTCGGTGCTTTTTATTAGCACTGACCACTGTATTAGTGTCAGTGGGGATGTCAGTGGCAGTTAGTCAGTAGCCCCCAGTGTCAAAATGCCCGCTATAAATCGCTGAGCGCCGCTATTACTAGTATATAAAAAAAAATTCCCATATATATACCGCCATTTTTTAAACGCTATAACGTTCATGTAAACAAATTGATTTACACGTATTGGGTTTATTTTTTAGCAGAGACATGTAGCAGAATACATTTTGGCCTAAATTTATGACAAAATTTGATTTTTTTTCAATTTTTGTACTGGACATGTTTTATAGCAACAAGTCAAAAAATATATATATTTTTTTCAAAATTGTCGGTCTTTTTTTGTTTATAGCGCAAAAATAAAAACAGAGGCGATGAAATACCACCAAAAGAAAGCTCCATTTGTGGGAAAAAAAGGACATAAATTTAATTTTCGTGCAGCGTTGCATGACCGCACAATTGGAAGTTAAAGTAATGTAGCACCGTATCGCAAAAAATGGCCTGGTCAGGAAGGGTGGTAAATCCTCAGGAGGCCAAGTTGTAAACATTGTATATATTACAGAGAATTCACAGACCATTAGAAGATACACAGCAGCAGATGACTCCTTTTGTGCAGATAGTAACCAATCAGCTTCCAGGTTTTATTGTCAAGTTTAATTGAACAAGTTAGAAGCTAATTGGTTAGTATGCACAGCTGCACCAGATTCTATGTGCATCTCTCGTCTGTATTTTACTGAAACCTAGCAAGTAGCAAGTCAAATTTTGTCGTAAATTTTTGTCATAAATTTAGGACAAAATGTATTCTGCGACATGTCTTTGCTAGAAAAAAATCCCAATACGTGTAAATTAATTGGTTTATATGAAAGTTATAGTGTTTACAAATGGCTGTATATATACTGGATTTTTTTTTCTACTAGTAATGGCGGTGATCCACAACTTTATAGTGGGACTGTGGCAGGCATTCTGACATTGGGGGAACTGACTTGGTGTCACTGACAGCACCAGTGACATCAATACAATGATCAGTGCTAATGAAAAGCACTGACACTGTCCTAATGGCACTGGGTAGGAAGGGGTTAACATGTTAGGTGATCAAAGGGTTAACTGTGTGCTGTTTTATTGTGTGCTGTGTGTGCTTTACACTGTAAGCACACTGCTTTGTATGGCTCTGCTATGCAGAGCCATACAAAGCAGTGTTCAGGGGCTGACAGGGGAGAGATCTGTGCTGTTTATACACAGGTCTCTCCCCCGTCGGTGATACTTGGTGATCGCCGGGTGCCAGCGTGGAATCACCGACTGGGACCCAGTGATTGACAGCTGAGGCCATGATTTTACGCACCCGTGCTGCCCTGTAGCAGTATCAGTGCTATAGCGTGGCGCGGAAGTGGATAAAGGCAAAATAAATAAACAAAAAAGAGAGACACACCAACCTTAAGCAATTTTAGCAGGGGTATTCAATTAAAGTTCACAAAGGTGCAGTCAGTAAAATTTTTCCTTCCAGCAGAGGTCCCAATCACATGTTTGATTCTTAATGGCACCTCTGTGCATTGGCAAACATGGCATGTCTTTGCATAGTGCCACAGTACCATGCAGCCCAGTACGGCGCCATTTAATAAAAGGGTCAGGGACTTCTTTCTCTGAGTTTCTGTGTATAAGGCAGCTTACTGACATAAATGTGCTGCCTACACGCAGAATGCAATGATGTGAACCTAGCCTCTGACCCTTCACATCACAGTTCTGTTATTACATCAGTGTTCAAATCCCCCCTGCACATCACCCCTCCCTTCATATTACAGTCCTCAGTTCCCCTTCACATTCTTGACCTTGGCCCCCCTTTATATCCCACCCCCCCCCCCCACTTCAAATTGCAGTTTCCAGCCCTCTTTCATATCATCCCCCTTCACATTCCTGTTCCACCCCCTTTATAGCACCCCTCCTTCACATTGCAGTCCCTAGTTCCCCTTCACATTCCTGTTCACACCCCCTTTATAGAACCCCCCTTCACATTGCAATCCTCAGCTCCCATTCACATTCTTGTCCTCACCCCCTATATAGAACCCCTACTTCACAGAGGAGTCCCCAGCACCCCTTCACATTCCTATCCTCATTCCCTCTATAGCACTCCCCTTCATATTCCTGTCCTGACCTCCTTTATAGTAACCCCATTTACATTCCTGTCTTCACCCCCTTTTAAAGCCCCCCCTTCACA